AGAGAGAGAGAGAGAGAGAGAGAGAGAGAGAGAGAGAGAGAGAGAGAGAGAATATGACTTTCATAAATGATGATGTACGCCTAGAGCTATCTGTATAGTTCATTAGCATAATTATACCCTAAAGACACATGTATATTAATATAATTTTGGTTATAATTAAATATGTCTTTACATTTTTGTTTGTTATTGCTGCTTTTGTCCCCACGGAAGATGGATGTTGATCCAAACAAAGGTATGTCTCCATAATATAATATAATTCACATTGATCTTTCTTCCCTTCAGAAACGTTTTACGTCCACATCGACATTACTTATATAGTTTTTTGTGGCTAGACCAGCAACGGTGGTGTAGCGGTTAGCAGCTTCGCTGCCCCCTCCCTCCCCCCAGGAGACTCGAGTTTGATTCCCGAGTGAAGATCTAATTTTTTAAAAATCGAATTATCCCAGTAGCCCGGGTTTTCCCAGACAGGCAGTTCGCCTTCTATATTATCTAAATAAGGTACTGTGGCCAGCTGTTTCGTGCCTGTGTCTCAGTTCCCCATATAAAAATGTCTGACGAATTGAGCATCTCAGGCAGGCAGACGCAGACACTCGATAAAAATTATTTTCTTTACCCGAGAATCGCACTCCCGTTTTCTGAATGTACCAGGGATTGTCCCAACCACTACACCACTGACGCTGGTATATAATATGCACTTTCGTCGGCCAATTGGCCAAATGTACTAAGATCAAAATTTAAAAGTTGCTTTAAAAAAAAAAACGTTCAGTTTTTCATGAGTTCGAGAAGCCGTCGTCTCCGAACTATTTTGTCTAAGGTGTACTCCAAGAAACAGCGCACTTTTAACTAAATTTTATATTAAACATATAATATGTCAAAATTTAAATTTTAAACTTTTAGAATAGCAAGAAATGATACAGGAAGTAGGTACGTAAGATTGTGGAAATGAATACAGATTTTTTAAATGTACTGTCTCCTGAAAAAAAATGCTGCTTTTTGGTCTTTGAACTCTTTAGCAGCTTGCCAACGTTATGTCGTGAAAGATGATGACAAAATAAATCCTTGAATTTTGTCTTGAGGAGTTAATAAAACCCAGTTATTCGCTGGACTGTGCAGGTAGTCTTCGTAGATCCATAATCTTTTTGTACGTTGATTGTAAAAATCAGTGTAGATCCCCTGTGAATATATTATTATAAATATTGGTACACTGTTTATTTTTATATGTCCTTTTGCGTATTGGAATAGTTCACTCTCTCATTTTTCGAATTAATTTCTTGTTATTGTATTGCCTCCGCGCTTCTCCTCTTTCCGGTATTCTCCCCCCTCCCCCCCTTCTCTCTCTCTCTCTCTCTCTCTCTCTCTCTCTCTCTCTCTCTCTCTCTCTGTGGATATTCCACATAATATACTCAGACTGCGTGCCGTATTGGTATTCATGCATTCCTCTAATTATATTATTGAATTGGAATATCATAACAATAAGATGATGCTTTTTGCATACACCTACTTTTGCTACCACCCCTGTAAAGAGCATGTTGAGGGTGGTTGGAGGGCGTCACTTATAGAAGGTCCTACTTTTTTATATTTTCCTCTGTTGTTTCTGTATGTCTGTCTTACTTTTCCCCAGCACTAAATGACCATCATCGTGCCGATGTGCTTCTTCTTACTCAAAGAAACAAACAAGCAAATAAACAAACAAACAAATAAACAAACGAATAGACATTGCTTGTATCGTCTGCAGATCGGCAGATGACCATCATTGTGTTAATGTGCTTCTCTTTAATCAAACCAACCAACCAACCAACCAACCAAGCAAACAAACAAACAAACAACCAACCAACCAACCAACCAACCAACCAACCAACCAACCAACCAACCAACCAAACAAACAACCAAACAAACAACCAACAAGCTTTGTTCATGTCGTCCACAGATCGGCACCAGTCAAGTATTTCACCCACGAGCTGTCCTGTCGCGGCCGACTACGCCGCTTCTTCATCAGAAATGCCAGCACACGTGAGTTATTTTTGTTGTTTTTCGTTTAAGTGCGAGTTTTATGCGGGTGTTTGGCGGGTGCTCCTATGTGGTTTGCTCCTTCTGTACCATGAGCCATATCGTCTTGATCTCTCCTCCCCCTTTTTTGTGTTTGTTACTCGCTTGTTACACCTCTAACCTTTGGCACTTTTATGACCTTATGGTGTCGCAAGTGTCGTAAGTGGGTGGTTGGCGGGTGCTCTGGTGTGGTTTGCCCCTTCTTTCTTACCAAATATCTATCGTCCTGATCTCTCCTCCTTCTTTTTATGTTTGTTTGTAATGTTGCTCTCTTGTAACGCCTCTAATCTTCTGCACTTATATGACCTTATTGTGTTGCAAGTGCCGTAAAACTCTAACTAAAACTAAAACTAAAGTGTCGTAAACTGATCACTACAACCAACAGATGGTGAGTTTAACGGCACTTTAAATTTTCAACCTACTACAATGCGGTCAAAAATACGGGGCGCAACTTGTCCTCAAATATCTCTTTAACCGGTGAATCAATGTCATCCATACTTCGCGCAGCAGCTTGCATCCATTTGTCTTAACTAAATCACATGTTTCCACAATTGAGGCTACATTAAAAAACTTTTCTCCATAAAGCCATATAAAATACTATAAATCCCCGTCACACGGAAAATGGGGTTGTTCACAGCTTTTCCCGTTTCTCACTCACATTTTGCATACATGGTCTACGTCACGGCTCACCAATGCCCTTTAATGGCAAAACTTGTTACAAAAAATTACATTCTATAATGAACTCTTTTTTTGCACTAAAGGTTCTCTAAACACGCGTTCATAAGCATAATGTTGCGATTAGAAAAACGTGACAGACTTCCTTTTGAAAGCGATATTGCCCCAGCTGTAAACCGTTTAAAATATTTATTTTTCTATTTATTAAGGAATTTTCTAGAATACAGTTGTCAGTTGTTTACAAAAAAAAAAAAGATCTATCAAGACAAACTAATACACGTCATTGTGCAAAAGCTGGAGAGTCTATGTTTGATAGTTTAGGATATTCGACAAAAAGTTGCGCCACGCATTTCTGACTGCACAAAAGTTAAGACAATTTAATACAAGCAGCTGTACTTAGTGTGGGTTACATTGATTCCCCCCTTAAAGAGATATCTGAGGGTAAATTGCGTCGCGAACTTTTTACACCTCTTTCGTGTTGATTGGGGTGTTAAACCTACGCTATTTCACCATTTTCCAGGCATCGCGAGCACATTCTTTGACCTGGCCCTCAAGTCTCTCATCTGTATCATGTATGTTGTTCGTGTTTACCTGGACAACCCTTCAGAGTACGAGTGGTGAGTAAACTACCTCCTGTGTGTGTAAGTGTAAGTGTGGATGTATTTTGTGTGTTTCTGTGTATGTGTGTTTTTATTTGTTTGTACGTTTATATATATA